TGAGTACTATAATTGGAGCGTAGAAAATTAACAAAGTGCAATACTTTTCGCTTGGATAACAAGTTTAATTGCACCGATTCTTGTGCTAATCGCTGGTCCCGTTATCAAGATATTCTATCAGGCACTTTGACATTGAACGAGAACGAGACTTTAACTGCAAACATTATCGCTTGAACTCTCTCGGTGACGCTGTTTGCTCTTCTCCAGATTTCAGATCTTCGTTTTAAAAAGTTGCCTACATGGTCTAGTTGAGTCGTCGGATCGATATTAAATATTTTTGTCTGCAAAATATTTGTTTGCTCTTTTGCAAAAGTTTTCAACGCAGCAAGATATAATACACTTTGTATATTTTGTCACGAACGAATGCATCTTTCTGCAATCTTTATTCAAAACTGCGTGTGTATACAAAATATAACTTTTTTTTATATAAAAAAAGTAAATTTTCTATTCGTTCGCTATAGAGCAGAGATTACTGGGATGTATCGATCTTGTGCAGCCAGTACAAAATGAAAAAAAGAGGCAGCAGCAGCTGCAAAAAAAAACGAGCAAGAGAGTGTAAAACGACGAATTCAAACGATAGTATCCCAAAGGGAAGAGTGAGAAAGGAAGAGAGAGAGAGAGAGAAAGAGAGGGAAAAAAGACGAGTACTTTCTGGTGCGTCGGTGCACGGCTCGTTGATTTACAAAGGAATTCGTTTAAAAGGAAATAATATCCTTCTAGCACACACTAGGCGAGTACCTTCTTGGCACCTTCTTGGCAGTCGGACGATGCCATGCCTATACCTAGCAAAGGCAGATGTTCAACAATCTTTTATTAAATCTGTATAGATCCCGCGCTCGGTGAGATAAAAAACGTCAAGTGCGAAAGAAGTCGGCCGATGTGACCTTTTGTTCGAAATAATTAACCCTTTTTTCCGTGGCGGCAGGCTAAGATTGAATCGTCGGTAAAAGTACGTAGGCAAGATTTCTTTGGGAACAACGGAGGGAAATGAATGTTTATCTAAGCAAAGTACGGTGATATGTGGATGTATTCATGCGAGCTAGAGGGCGAGAGAAAGAGAGAGGGGTAGAGGCAGAGTGAGCGAGTTGCAATTGTTGTTATGTAAATTTCACGCTTTTAGATGTTGAATGTACTATTAGGCGAACTACATACATACGTATCCAGCGCGAGCGAGTTATGCAGCATATATATTTTCAAGTTTAACTTTGTGCAATGACGTTTACGCGCCCAGCCAACGGCAGCGGCAAAAGCAGCAGCGGCAGCAGCAGCAGCAGCCTTGTCGAATTTGTAAACTAAGCTTTTGCGCGCTGCAGAATTTAAACTACATATTCCTCGGTGCTAAAGTTTCGTCGAGCTCGAGCAGGGCCCGCGCGTGCGAGAGAGAGAGAGAGAGTGAGTGAGAGACAGAGAGAAAGAGAGAAAAGTTTAAATATGTGTTGTGTCGCGAGCTCGCGCATTAGCATCTTATTATTTCATAAATTAGTCGAGTGAAATAACATTCTATGCGGGTACGGACACACGAAGCTGCTATGCTGCGCAGCGAGCGGTTTTTGTTATTATTTACTCGCGCTTTCGGGTTAAGGGAAAAATTGCACAGAGACAACTTGAAATCCAATCAAAGTATCAGAGGGTAGAGAAAAAAGCTAGTAGCATCGGAAGCGCAAAGTGAAAGTTTTCTTTCTCTCTCTCTCTCTCTCTTGGCGTATGTTTTCTTTGCTCTCCGACTGCTGAAAGAAAATCCTGCGCTGCAGTGCCGACAAGCACTTTAATGGTAAAGCGATCTCGCCCTTCTCTCTCTCACTCGTTCTCTCTTCTTCCCTTTCACTCACTCTCGACGATTATTTATTCATCGTTGCTTTTTTCTCTCTCTCTCTACGTCTTCCTAGCCGAGTCCCGACGGGGCATATAGCACGCGAGAGCAAAAGCGTATGCGAAGACTTTCTCTCAACTTTCGGGCTCGGCTATAGTCCGATCTGATCGGAGTTTGAAACATGCATCTCTGTGTGTGCGAGTGAGTGAGTGTGTGTTTGTACGTGGGTGAGTGTTCCATCAGCGCTGGCAAGAGACTTCCTCAAGGGATGCGCCCTGAGATTTCTTTCACCTCTTGGCGGCTATATTTGCCGAGAGAAAAGCGACGAGCTGCAAGCAGTAACGCATTAATAATAATCGATTTTCCTTTTGCACACATACGTGCCTGCGCGTGCGTGTGTGCAGTTGCAGCCCTGCTTTTGAATGCTTTTAGCAAACTGATCTTTCGCCCTCCCTCTTTCTTTCTTTTTTATTCTTCTCCTTCATTTTAATCAACATTGTAGCGCCTCGCTAGTACAATTATTTACCTAAAGTTTAATATAGTAGATTATGTAGAATGTCAATTCGTTGAGTAAATTCAATCCGAAAGCAGACAAATGCCGCTTTGCCCGCGCACAAAGCTCCTCTCTAGCGAGTGCGCACAGAGAGAGAGAGAGAGAGAGGGAACTGCTACTGGCCTCTCGCAATTCGCCCTTGTCATACGAACAAATATTTGTGAACGATGATCGAGTCCTGATTACACATGATATGAATCAACGGCGATGATGTTAATATAATACCGGGGACTCGTGTGCGACTCTGTGTTTATGTCAAGTTTGTTTGTAACTACTATCTATAATAAGTGTAAATACATTTTTCTAAAGTTGATTCGGCAAAGTGCAAATAAATAATTTATATTATCTAATGCAAGTGTCTGCAGTGATAAAATTTTCATCCAGACATGAAAACATCAAATTTTCAATAGCCGCGCAAACTCATTTAGCATGAAAAATAATGAGCGAAAGAAAAAGAAGCGGAGGTAAGGTAACTGATTGACCTGGAAATATCAGTTGGCTATTACCAAAGTTCAAAAGTTGCAGTTACTTATTACGCGCAAGCAGCAGCGTCGAAGGGAAGCGGGGGTGCTAGGAAGGAACGGAGGCAAGCGGCAAGATTTCAACGGCGACTAATTTTACACGAATAGTACGACCGATAATTCAAGTTGATGGAGTGAATTATTCAAGGGATGAGAGGCCTGCGCGCCAGCAGGAGCGCAGGAGGACTATAATGGATCGATCGTTAAAACTCGTGCTTTTATCACTGTCTTATATCGCGCTTCACTTGTCTCTCGTTTTCTCCATAAGAAACCGTTTCATCCGATCTCGACCCTCCCCCCACTCCTCCGCTCGTGTTTTATTATAACGATTTAGAGAGGATGTCATATTACTATTGGGAAATGAGATTCTTTTTTTCAGAAAGGAAGAGATAATTGAGAGGATAAGATTTACTTCCTCGCTCTCCATCGACCATCTGCAGTTGGCGATGGAAGAAATTCATTTCGTAGCGTCGTTGATTAGAATGACTCAATGTCAAAGGGGGCCGGCCGGACCTTTAACGCTTATTGTCGCGCGCTCGAAGCTTTCCGCCGAGTCGACGCTTTTTCTCCATTAATCTCGAGCGCGGGTTCTCAAAAAATTTGAAGCTTGCGTACGCCACGCGTATCTGCACAATCAATCGGGCGTATACTGCAGTACGTATAGATCACGCAAGAGTATATCCGCGCTCGAAGAAATAAATAGTTTTCGAGCCAATAAAAATCGAAGAGAGAAAAAGAACGAGAGAGAAAGAGAGACAACCCGATACAGCATACACACAGTTAAAGTATATGTAGCGTATTGTGGTATCGTATGGCTCTAATAAATCCTGAACAAAAGGGTCCGTGACGTTTAATGGCGCGCGCCACCTGCAGGCCGGAGAAATCGCGAAACAAGACGATACTGCATTGTGCAAAAGAGGAAGCAGAGGGAGGAGAGAAAGCGAATGAGAGATCGAAGGGACACACGATTAACCAAAAAGCTCCACCGGTCAATTTTAAATCTGCTCGTCGTAAATTAGCTTTTTTCCCTCCCTATAGCTTTCTTTCTGTCTCGTTCTCTCGTGTTTTATTTGCTTCTCGCTCGGGGATCGATTCGAACGCGCGCGACAATTTTCTCATCAGAATTTAGCATCGTGCACTTGCCTCTATAGCTTACAAGCGGACAAAGATCGATCTGTATTATTCAGCCGGAGAATCACAAAGTACTTTCTTTTTATGCCTAAAACGTGATATATTATGCGGAGAGACTTATGGAGGGTTGTTCGCTCGTTTAAGACTCGGTCCACTTTCAATGATTCTGGGCCTAGAATATCTTAATTTAGAGCTAATCGGCTCATAAGTCGCTTGCTGTCCCTGTTAGTAATCTCTAGCAGCTGTAAGTACAACCTCGTGTACGTACACGCTTCTCTGTTGTACACACAGAAATACTAGCAGCAGCAGCTCAGAGAGGAAAGCTCGAAGAGTAACGAAGTATATATATTTGCTGTATGAGGGAGCAGCCTAGGTGTGTATACACACGTGTTGTGTGCTTAGATAACAGGAACATGCTATAATACACACACATGCATATATTCAACGAGCCTCCTCCCTCCTCTTAAATCCTCTGCCCATCGTACCAGCCATGGTCGGATGGTCAGTCTTCGATCGCACATGATAACTTTACATAGGGGCTTTTGACCTTTCATTCTGCCCCTCGGAAGATACGTTTCTTATATGGCTTACATCGCGAATATATGTAGCATAATATGTAAACTCGATATTGAAAATGTTCCGCTTGGTCGAGATGTTAATCAATGCGTGACAATAGTAATACGTAATCTATCCAATGCGATATCGATGAAATGAGTATCGATTTACGATGCAGTGCTTTGAAAACAAAGAGAAAAACTTCACTCGACGTATTAATAAAGAGCTTTTGATAGTGAGCATCGAAGCAATAAAACAGACTTTGTCTCGATACTGATAAAGATAAGAGGCAATTGATTTATTTCCGTATCGACGTTTTATAGAAAAATAATAATATACTCGAGCATGTACGTGTTCAGATGAAACAAATGATAGTGATTGAATAAATAGTTGCTGGTAAACTTTAACATTAGTTTTTTTTCATTGACAGAATCTAATGGGTCGTAGTCACGGCAACGCATCGTGGCCTGATCCATCTACGACGTCCCAGCCAATCGACGCACAAAAAATTTCCTAGATGCACGATACGAGCGAGGATCGCTTTAATCCCCATCAGCAGCAGCATCACTTGCGAGCTCAAGTGGCTAATAATAGCAACAAGAGTAACGGAGCGGCCGCTCATCAAGCGAACGGCGCTCATCATCATCATCATCATCAACATCATCCTCCCTCGAAAGGATCGACGAGGATGGCATGCGAAAAAGCATCGCGAAAATTACGCGCTACCCTGCTCAAAGCGGCGAGGATCGGGGTAACGACCAACGAGCTCGCCAGATTACCATCGGCCAAGAAAATCGTCTCACAGAGGGATCACGATTGGAAACTGGCGGTGCTGCTGCTGCTGATGTTCGGCGGCGGCGTCATCGTCGCGCTCGTCTGCACGACCAGCCGTGGCTGCTCCAAAATTGAAGACATTGTGAGTACACCGAGACTATTTTACAACTTTCTAATTCTCTTTTCTTTTTTGCTCGCTGCAATTATATGCAGCTTTGAATTTCGAGCTTTAATCGCGCACTCGTGCGTGCCTGAAATAATAGTTAGCTTTTATCCTTTGTCAAGAGAGAGAGAGACAAAGATATCAACGTCCTTCTCTCTCCCCCTATATGTATGCACGCGCATATGCTTTGGCAGTTCTTCCTATTCCCGCACTTACGTTTATATACGTATATACGTGCACCGCGCGTATACGTATGTATAAGTGAACAATTACGAGGGGTTCGTACGCTGGCTTGGCCGATCCATCCGAGAGATTAGAAAGCTCGTTCGAATAAGGGCTTGCGGTTGCCGCCACCGCCGTTGCTGCTGCCCCGACCCCGTGTGCATACCTCGTACGTATAGAGAGCTGTAGAGCTGCATGTGCTGTATTTAAGACTTGCCGGATGCAGGTACACACTTGTGTAATATTCCCTGCGCTTGACACACTCGCACATACGTACGCGGCGCGCTCGTACGTGTGGATTTTCCGAAAAGCCAAAATGCTGCCAACAGATAGTTCGAGCTTATCAACGTGTACACAATAGTTTACAGCGTTTATTATTGTTATTATTGTAAATCTGCGCGAGACTGGCTTTATCGGAGAGCGAATTTAGCACATCTTAAGGCAATAAAAACAGATTAGTGATAATTGTTAATACATTCTTCTTCACTCGGGGCTCGTTTTGCTGCTGATCGCATTAAAAGATTCCGGTTGCACGGTCAGACGAAACGATTTTAAATAATCACGCGCGGTTTATACCGAACAGGGTCACGTAAATAATAACCGAGTCGGAAAGGCATGAAGACTCGAGTAAGTTGTTAATGTTTCAGGCGAAAAAAAGATCTCTAGTTTTTAGTTAACTTTTAAAAAGAAATTATCGATTGAAAGTTTGACACTGCAAGCTTTCATCTTATAAGGTAACTTTCGAGCCCTTACGTAAACGCATCTGACGTCTAATAATGGTGGAAATCCAAGTTTTTTATTCGGTTCAAAAATTTTTAACAAAATAAATAGAGCTCGAGTAAAGTTAAAAGCGCGATTGTTTAACTCCATAAATCATCCTGTGGCTGAAAACCTGACAATTTATTTTATAATTGAATTTTTTGGAACAAGTTTTTATTTTAAAATTCATATAACTAAGTTACAATTATAAAAAGAGAAATATTTTAATACATTTTTTGAATTTGAATGCATTTACTGACACGAGTAAACTGAAAAACTTTAGCTTCGTTATTTAATTGTATGTGAATCTTTTATAATTTACACGCAAACTTTGCCACTGATTAACGCTCGAAATTATTATTTGATGTCTTTTAATTAAAATTGTACAAATAGTGTAACTATCTCTTTTTTAATGGCGCACAGTCGTTACCGATGAAAGTAAATTTTTAATCGTCGAAACACTGATAAAGCTCGCATAATCCGCCACAAAAGCTTCTTACTGCTCAGCGTCTATTATCTTATTTTTATGGTATAAATTATAGAGAACCTTCGTCTCGGTGTACTTTTAAAAATAATCCGAAACTTAGATGATAATTAAAAGCAGTCATAATGTGTATCGCTGCGCCAAGTACAGCTGCAGCGATGTGATATAATAATATAAATTAAAGCGTCTTTTGGAAGCTCTTTGCGCGCAATAATTGCGTGAGTCGAGACTCGAGCTGTGTGCCACTGCTGTGGCTGGCGGCGCGCGAAAAAGCTCACTAGCACTACCAACGCGCTCGGCAGCAGCTCATTAAGCAAATGGAACGGAGCGCGATAAACACGCAGAAGGGAGAAAAAGATGGATAGGCCAATTTTCAAATGTTCGGAGTTGTACATTTTCTCTCCCTTCGAGTCGTAGTAGCGGTGGCGGTGGCGGCAGCGTAGCAGTAGCAGTAGCAGTAGTAGCTGGCGTTGAGTGCTTGATTGACTGTGGCAGGCAAGTAGTGGCAGCAAGTGAATTCCAATGATGTAAAAGAGAGCGAAGAGGAAAAAAAAAATTATTTTCCGCGGTCGAGCTTCGTGCGACGAGCAGCTATTTTTATAGCCGCCCCGTTTTATAAATTCGCTCGATATCTCTATGCGCTCTCGATATGTACAACGTATATTTGTATTTCATCGAGCCCGCATAAATTGTCATTTAAAAAATATATTGCATCCCCCGCAAGCTGCCATGCCATCTAATAAAAGCTCTATATATACGTATTATACACGTGTGCGCGCGCGAGGCGTATCAAAGAATTTTCGCTACGGTGGAAAGAGCTTCCGTATTGGAGTTGCGTTTCAATGCGATCGTGTAACGATCGTTTTTGCCGAAGCACAAAGACACGAGACACTGTTGGCATCGTCCTCTCTCGCTCCAGCTCTCCCTCCCTCTCGCTCGGTACAACGCACAGTATTAGGAACAGCAACAACAGGAGCTCTCCACAGTATGTGTGCGCGTGTGCATAATTTGACACAAGCGAGAGAGAGAGAGAGAGAGAAAGCTAGCCTCTGCCCTTCTCCCGTCTCGATGTCACGTATCAGTCCGGCCTGACGCTCTCTCTCACACGCGCTGCCGTTATAATTAATTACCACCTCAATTTGCTGGCGACTCACATTTTCGGCTTTATAGGCCTCTAGCACTGGTACACAATATCACTCACTCTCTCTCTCTCTCTCTCTTTCTCTCTCTCCCTCGCTCGTTGCGTTTGGCACAGTCCAATAATCATCATTATCGCTGGCCAGCTTCGCTGCGTCTATATAACGCGTATCGTTTGTCAATATTGTAAAACAAAAAATTCACAAACACGCACATCGCCCAAGAGAGTGGAGCTGCAGGCTAGCAATCGTTAAAATCAGAAAAATCCGATACACATGTGTGCACGGGTGAGCAGCCAACATGACCGGCTGATAATAATACGCTCGAAGCTTAATAAGCGACTTTCATCCATAACACGTACGTGTTACAAATCTCCTGAGTCGTTGCTGTTGCAGTTGCTGCTGCTGCTGCTGTTACAGTTGTTGTGCGTTCGTATGTATGAATATATTCCTCCGACCCCTTCCGAATGTTACAAATAAAATACGAGTCTGGCCATTAGCAGAGCTGAGTATTGGCCAAAGGGAGAGGGAGAGCGGCACAACTTTTCATCGCTAATGGATGGAAAAATTAAGGGTCAAAATGCGCATCTGCGCGCACACGCACACATACACACACACCTATTTCGTATGTATGCATATTGCGCTTTGCCATATAACTGTGTACGAATGTGCGCTTTGCTGCGATGATCATTAGGAAAGTTTGTGTATACATAAATATCTACGTACCTGCTATATACGCGCGTATATAGCTAACGCGAATTCGCATGTACAAGCGCAGACACGAATTTCCAGCCTCGTTTAGAATAAAATATCAAACTCGGCGTGAACGCCAGGGATTAGTTGTTATTTATTGTATGCGGGACGAATGGAACGATCATACGGATAGTCGAGTTCTCTAGTTCGGCAACACATTCATTGTTTCGGCAGCTTAATTAGATAATTATTGATGCACTTGATGCGCGCACAAACATCGATATTGACGAATAAAGAAAATTATTCACGTATATATACTGCAGACATGTTCAACAAAATTACAGAATTACTGGAGTGGCGCGCGATACAGCGGCATACGATATATATAGCGACGTCAATTATAACGTGGAAAGCAAATTCCTAGACAATCGAGCTGGTGCAGCCGTATCGTGTCTCGCTCTTATATACATAGACAGTGGCAAGGATGGAGTAAATAAAAGAGTCAAAAGAGCGAGCGAAGAATCGCGAGAAGAAATAAAAGCTGACATCGGAAGAAAAGGTGGTCGGGGGGGCAGGGGGTATAGTCTCGCAGTCGCCAAAAGAGAAAGAGACAGAGAGGCAAAAAAAAAAGAGTAAATAAGTATGAGTACCCCCTGTGGTGCAAAGTTGCGCTCGCTGTGCGCATTGTTCAGTCGTATAAGAAGTTACTCTTGAGAAGTTCTTTTGCCTCCTATACCTATAGAGTCTCTGGCGCTGTACGGAGAAAGAGCCTCGCCAGTTGTATATCGATTAAAGGCTGCGCGCTCGAGCTTCTCTGTTTGCCTGTGTGCCCTGCTATATACTTTCCTGCTGCGTGGGTGTGTGTGTGTGTGTATAGGTGTATACGAAGCGCAGCGAGAGCAGATTGTCAGCAACGAAGCGATAAGTTGCTGCTCTGGTCACGCTCCGTTTCATCTTTTTCCATTTTTTATTCGAATATAATCTCGAATCTCGAGAAATGCAGCTCTCGCAGCAGCCTCCATTATCATCATCATTAAGGTCTGCGAGCGTAAGTTTTGGATAGGGCGAGGGCGGCACTGCGGGGTATATATTCTCGTGAGCGCGCGACACGCCAGCTCCTCTGCACAGATGTGATTGCGGAAATGAGAGAGTTTCGGGTGCAGTTGCGTGTTTATGAGCTGCGATCATATTCTTGAAATCGGATAAGCTTCCTTCGTCGTCGCATAGTCGTCGCTTCGGCTTGGAGCCGGTGGATAGCCACAAGCTGCGAAAGAGAACCGAAAGGGGATAGAACGAGAGAAAGAGAGAGAGAGAGAGAGAGAGAGTGCGAGTGAGATATGTTTGATGTAGAGAGGGATATGCTTTATTTCCGCGAGGGGTAAAAGATGATGCGCGACAGGCTAGGCTCGTGCGACGAGGATTATGAGGCTAGAGAGGAAAGCTTGATAAGGATTAACGCAGGCAGACAAAATAACGAGTTTGAAAGCTATACGTAGGTACACGAAAGAGAGATGCAATAAACATGCTCCCGAAATACTCGTGCGTTAATTTTAAATTACATTATATTCTAAAATAAAAGGAGCACGTCGCGAACGAAAAACAAATTTTTTCATAACGCAAGAGAAGAGCTGCCTCGAAAGTGTATAATGCGGCAAAAAGCTCGGGGAAATCGAATAGGCTAATAT